TATGGGGTACCAATTTTGGAAGAATTTCATATATTTGTGTTTTTACTTCTTAATACATATGCAACAAACCATAACACGGTTTAAAATTCTTACTAAGAATTGTATACCAAGGGCTGGACTGTTAATGCCACTAATAGAAATATACCAGTGAATATCCTAAATGTATTATCTTTAGGAGAAAAATTCAACATAATACCCAATAAATATAATATAGAAATAGTGAATATTATAGCTGATATTGAAAACATTATTAGATCTATTAATACTTCATAAGAACGTAGTTCGAAATAAGGTTAATAACCATATTAACCAATTTATAGACAATAAGGGGAAACTAAATATAACTAACTCCTTACATGCTAAAATTAATAAAGATATAGTAGAGACTAAACAATTTTTTAAGGACAAGCCAGAACTACTTGTTATCAAATTGGATAAAACAAAAAAGACAGTAATCACTTCAAAATCAGAATATAATAATAAAATGTATAATCTACTCGATGAACGGCAAATATACGGACTACTTAGAAAAGACCCCTCAAGTGAGATACAAGAAAAATTACTAAACTATGTCAACAAACTAATTAAAAACAAATACATAGAAGAAAAATATAAAGATAGACTAATTAATAGACACTATACCATTCCAAGAATATATGGCCTGAGTAAACTACATAAGACAAACACACCACTGAGACCAATAGTCAATAATATTAATGGGATAATTGAAAAACTAGCAAAATTTCTAAATCCAGCACTAAATAGTCTTAATAATAAAAATACATATGATGTACAGAATTCTATGGAAGTCAAAGATAAGATGAATAATGTTAAAAAAATTGAAGATAATGAATCCCTAGTCGGTTATGATGCGGAATCCCTCTTTACAAATATTCCCCTTAAAGAACCTATATAAGATATTGGAAATAAATTGGGAGGAAATCGAACCCCATACGACGATTAAAAATAAAGCACTGTTCATGGAGGGGATAAAATTAATCTGTGACAACGGATACTTCACATACAATAGTAATTTCTTTAAAATTAGAAACGGACTGCCGATGGGAGGAGCTATATCGATTAATCTTGGCGGCATGTACCTAAATAGCCTGCTGGATAAAGCTATAAAGAAATTTAATAAAATTCCTAAGATTTCTATAAAGTATGTTGACGATTATAGACAAAAATGAAATAAACATTTTTTTAAACATATTAAATTAATTGTCAGATAAACTTAAATTCACAAATGAAGTAGAAGGAAATAATAAAATTAGATTCTTGGACATGAATAGAAATAGAAATGAAGCAGGGATACTAAAAACATTGTGGTTAAAAAAGTTATTACGAGCAATAGAATACTAAACTTGCATAGTAACCATAATACACAACAGAAAATCAATACAACTAAAAATTTAATAGATAGAGGCAAACTAATTACAGACGAAATACATATTAAAGAAGTAAAAACACAAATATATGAAATTCTTCTCAAATATTCGTATCCCATAAGACTGATAAATAAATTATGGCACAAGGATAAAAGAGAAAAAAACATAGATAATTATAAAGAACTAAAGGGTTCAAACATCAATACCAATATAAAAACTAATCAAACCAAGACCAAAAATTAAAAAACCAATCTAATCACAAACTATTTTAAAGTAGATAATACTAAAAAACATAAGAATGACAACGAAAATCCTGATCTAAAATTTCAGAATGAGAAAAATAAGAATATTAATGCTGACCCCAACTCCAAAAAAAACTTTTCAGTCACTTATATTAGAGGTTTAACTAATAAAATTGAAAAAACTTAAAAAAAATATGATATAAATGAAATCAGATTTGGGAAAAAACCTATTAATAAATTAGATAAATTATACAGTAGAACTAAGGATATTATTCCAAAAGAAAAATTAACTAATATTATTTATAAAATATAATGCGAGGATTGTGAAAATAAAGCATATTACAGACAAACCTAACAATGGTTTGAACGTAGGATACAGCAACATAAACAAAATTGCAGGTGTAAAACGACAAAATCAAAATCAGCCACAGGATTATCATAGCATACCACAAAAAATGGACATAAATTTGATTTTGGTACAGCTTCCATGTTGCATAGAGAATAGAATATTGGAAAACGAAGAATAATTGAATCTATATTTATTACTAAAAACCTGAAACATTCGGTAAATCAACAGACAGATGTAGATAACTTAAATACTTTTTATGCTAGCCTCAATAGATAAAATTAAAATATAATATACTCATATATAACAGATAAAACAGCTGATCCCTAACCCCTCCACCCCACTCCTTTTTTAAATAAATCCAGTCCTGTATGAATGCCTTAGTGAGGAGCAATAATTTTCTTGATATCGTCTTCGAAAGAGGTACATAAATCGAGAACTAATAATATTCTTTTTTAAAATAATTTTAACATTCTATTTTAATTAATTATTTATTTATTACAACTTTTCAGAAGTGAAAAACGACATTCTATGAAATAAAAGAATGACTAAAGGACGAATCATATTGTAATGATAGATTTTAGAAATTTTATGAAGCGGTGCATGGTAGGTAGATGATAGAAATTTAATAAAAAATTGTTTTTATAAAATACAATTTGGACTATTTATATTACTGATAGTTGTTAAATAATATGTGTCTGATAAAGATGTATTTTGAACTGTAAAAACTGAATTAAAATTAGTTTTGCAGGATCTTGAAAATGGCTCTTGAAGCCGAAACATTGAATAAAGAATAGAGGATGTAAAAACTATGTACATTTGGTGACCTTTGGCCTAAAATATATATAAAAAACTTATGAGAAAATGGCACCAAACCTGAATGATGCGACTAGAAAATTAAAATTTATTTTGCCAATCGCATAGTGCAGATTTTGGAAGTTACAGAACCTAATTGTTGGCATTATATTCCTATAAAACAGAATCCAGCAGATTGTTTATCGAGAGGCCTCACACCACACCAGATACTTTCACATGAGCTTTATTGGAACGGCCCGCCATTTATTTCGTTACCTCCTTCTGACTGACCTAATTACCACATTGAACGTCCATCTGTTCTGCCTGAGGTAAAAACAATATTTCTTTTAGCGGCTGAAAAACCTAACGATTTGTTGATTTGCCTGGAAATATATTTGAGCCTTTTAAAGTTGCAAAGAGTTTTTGCTTTCATTTTAAAATTTATTAAATGTTGCCGAGATAGGGAGGAAGATGATTTTGCTGCTGGAACCTTGACTGCGGACCATCTTAAGGATTGATGATTTATGTCAGACTCGTTCAGAGGAAATCCTTCTCTAAAATTAATTGATTGTCTTGAAGGTGGCAAACCATATAAGGGTTCCTTAAACAGGCTCACGCTATTTTTGGGTAAGAACAGAGCTCTCAGGGTGGGAGGTAGATTGAAGTATTCCACAATCGAAGAGAAAACTAAGCACCCGCTGCTGATACCTCATTTAGACTCTTATTTAGCAGTCCTTTTGTGTGATCATTACCTGGTGGCCCCCTGTTGGTTCAGTCTCTCATTCATCGCCAATTTTGGATCCCTTCTTTAAGAAGACTCGTTAGAAGCTGTATTTATAAATGTGTTACGTGCCAAAAATATAATGCGACACCAAAGGCTCCAAAAATGAGTGACTTACCATCTTTCAGGGTGACTGAAGTTCGTTCCTTTCAGAGAGTTGGGATAGACTATGGCGGCCCCTTCATTATGAAGATTTCCAGTAAGCGCAATGCTCCTAAGTCGAAATGTTGGTTAGCTCTCTTTGTGTGCATGTCCACCAAGGCCATACATCTAGAACTTATGACAGACCTATCCACTCCTTCATTTATTGCCACATAAGATAGATTCATAGATTCATTACATTGATTCAGTGGCGGCTGGCCAGGATAATAGAGACACTTCCAGGGTTCGACAGTGTAGTTAGGGTTGTAAAATTGAGTACTGCTACAGCCACTTTGGTGCGACCGGTGCATAAGTAAGTGCTTTTCTCTTCTGGAGAAACCTTTTATTCATATGTATATTTTTTTGTTTAAATTTAATGAGGAATCATTTTATTTTAAGTTAATTGTAAATTATTAGCCTAATTTCTCTCTTTATTGTAAACCAAGCAATTTTCCTCCCGTGCGTTGCCAGGTAATCACCAATCTCTGAGTTTAGTTTTTTTCTTTAAAAAGAAACTAAACCTTTCTTTAAAAAAAGGTTTAAATTTTCCTGCGTTACGGCGAGTGGTAAGGGCAGATCTAAAAGATAACAATTAAACCTTGAGAGCGACAGTTTGTATCTGCCCATTAAATTGGCAGTCACTGATCAAGCACCATCTCCAGCACAAGAAGTCACGTATGGAGGGCCCTCCAAGTAAAAAAGATATAGGCTGGTATACAGACAGTAAGCTATTTTTTTTGCACAATCATTAACCTACCAATCCCTTAAGATACAGTCCACTGCTTAAAAACTAGAATGTTGCCTTATTGAAACTCATGAGAGTTGTTTTGCCATAATTGGAAAAGTCGCCTAAACAGCCACAGTGTTTCGGACAGACCAGGAAAATATACTTTCGTTACAACCAAGGGGAGATCGGTGATCGATATGATATGTATAAATGAAAATTGTCTGGACAGATTTACAGACATGGAAGTCGTTAGTATGTCAGGGCTTCTGGATCACATGGTTTGCATTACCTCCTTGCAAACCATCAGAGCACAAAATCCTCCTATGAATAGAATACCTATTCGTGTAATAGCTATTCACAGTGGAATGAAGACAAAATTAACTTATTTTGTGAAAATATTTCCAACTCTGAAAAAATTTATTTCTATTCTGAAGGTGTAAACCATATGTATAACTCCAAACAGGCAATGCAAGAGAACTTGTTGGAATCAGGTTTAATGTTTACGAGAAAGTTTAAATCATTGAAAAAAATGAGAAACCATCAGGCATCCAAGGACATCGACAGAGTGTTAAACTCTAAATCAAACCCAAGATATAGAAACATCTGCTCCTTTAACGTTACCAGACCAGAGGATTATCTTCAGTTCAAGGCTCTGAATTCAAACAAATTAAGAGTCAGAGATAAGAGAGATTTTGTGAAGATATACTTAAAAGATGCTACTTTGACTATTAAATCTAGTGAAGTATGTGGTGCATGCAACTGCCTTGTAACTGACCCGGTGACTCATTTTTTGATTCAATGTATCAAGTTTAACGAACCAAGAAATAAGTACTTGAAGACATTTATCACTGAACCCAGGGAAGATGTTAGTGTGGAGGAGATATTGAAAATAGACACTGTGAAAAACTAAATCAACTGTATTATTTCATACAGAGCTGTTTATTGAACTGTAAATTGGTATAGTTAATCATATAAACATATATTAATGCTTGTTTATATTGTTACTTGTTTTACACCTCTGGAATATTAAAAAAAAAATGTTTTACTAATTGTTTATGCATATATATATCATTTAATAATCTGTTATTATATTAGTCATACTTAATGCTGTAGACGTTGTTAATGTTATGTTTGAATGCAGTACTAGACTCAAGATCTAACATTGTTAATAACATTATTATATTTATTTGTACAGGAATTTCCTTAGACAAATAAAACAAAATATTCTATTTTATTTGGTGAAAAATTTGTCATCTAATGTGGGTACAAAAAATTGAAAACTTTATAGTATTTTGGCCAGTATATTGTGAAATATGTAGAACAGGCTTGGACTTGTATGTAAAACTTTGAAACATACAGATAGATTAATTAATAAAAAAGTTATTGGTAAATTACTTGAAAATTTTCCTTAAAGTGTCAATAATTGGTGACTTTACCCGATATGTCAATGAAAGACAAATAAACAATTCATAATAGTTTTTTCAAAATAAATTATATCAACAATTTATTTTTAATATCTGATTTAAAAATAATAAAAAACAGTAATGAATAGAATTCATTCTTACCAACAAAGAACGCAGCCAATTGACACCATTTGTTACATCAATGACAACTACATCTTCTGTCTGGTTAGCAACAGATTCAACATAATACAATTTACCTCCATTAACAGTGGATTGATCAAATGCTTTGATACCACCCTTATCTTCATAATCTCCTATTTTATCTTCTTCACTTCCTTCAATATCTAAATAACCATGTAGCGGACCAGAAATTACTAAAAAAGTAATGTCTGATGGTGGTACACCAGTTTGTTTAACCTGAGACAGGTGAGATAAATGATTATCTTTGCAAAATATATAATATTAATTTTAAAACAAATGTATAAAATACCATTTCATATACAAATTATACTGTTTTAATGACTCAATAAATAATTATTATATTAATTTATTATAAACAGTTGATTGATACCTCATGCTATATTTTTATAACAATCCGCAACAATTAAGTTAAATATTACAATAGAATCAATTAATATTTTTAAATAAATCAAATTGAATAATAAACATAAAGGATTCAGTAAGATTATACTTTAATTAATCATTAGCTACATTGCTAAACCACTACAGAAAAAAATATCATAATAAAATAAACATTAAATTGAATTATATATAAATATTTAAAAAAAAGACAACTATAAAATTTTAAAAACTGTTTTATTGAGAAATAATAAATTCTACCAGCTTCAGCTTATAGATAGATAGATATTTTTAGGTAGGTTTTGCCATATACACAAGATATTGGTTAAAGCATTTGTCATGACTTGTGGTGGGGCAATATAGGTAGAGCTGTGATTTTGTCATAGTGAATGGGCCGGAGTTGGTGATAGCAGTGACAGGCGCACTGCAATCACATCTCCGAGAGTAGCACTTTAACTGTGACAGTCACCGTAGGCACTCTGAAATCCTAGCTCTGAGAATAGCACTCCAACTGTGACAGTCACTACAAGCGCTATGGAACCACAGCTCTGAGAATTGCTCTCCAACTGTGATAAGTGCTGTGAAATCACAGCACTGTGAACAGTGCCCCAACTGTGACAATCACTGTAGACACTGCGGAATCATAGCTCTGAGAATTATTATTATACCAAAATAATGGTTATTCCTCAAATTTTAATTAATAATAATATTTATTTTGGATTTTATTATTCAAAACATTTATTTTGAATGACCTGAACATTCATTGAAATAAAGCCATATATTTCTGAATGAGTTATTTCTGAAATAATTATCAGAATTTTTTTCTTTCACTATTTTATTTATTACTTTTCTACCATTTATTTTAAACTAAATTGTTTTTCAAAAATGTAAAATATTTATTTCTGAAATAACTTCAGTTTTGAAATAAGTTCAAAATTCATGAATAGTGAAAATATATAATAATATAAAATAATGACTATCCTCAACCGACATTCCTATTATTCCCACTACTTTCGAACCAATCAATCACTAATAACCAGCCAATTATAACTGAAACTCTAAAAATCATTCATCTCTTGCAATATAAATGAAAAATGAATTTGAAATTAAGTTAACTCAAATATTCCCAGCAGAGCCATATAGAGGAACCTAGGGAACCCAGGGATAATTTTTTCTAACCAGAAAATAATGTCAATTTCTCATATTAAATTCCAACACATAAATTTTAATTGAGGATGTTTTTTTAATTTTGGATATCATTCAAATCAACAAATCCTTTCCACCTTAGAAAGTGTTGAAGATACCGGAATAAATGGAAATATGATGGTGCAACATCGGGCAAGTATGGTTGGTGAGGCAGCTCCTCTCACTCCATTTCATTATTTTTTCAGGGTTCGTCTTGTGCAGAGTGGTCTTGCATTATTGTGTCGCGTTATAATGCCTTTTATGTTGACAAATGCTGGCCATTTATCAATTAAAGACTGATTTATGCAATCCAATTGTTCACAGCAAAAGTCTGCATTCACAGCTTTTCCAGGTTTCAAAACTTCAAAATGAAAAAAACTGCGAATAATCCACCAAACACACAAAAGAACCTTTTTGGGGTGTAAACCTGGCTTAGAAGTAATTTGTGGTGATACATTTAGCCACTGTCTTTTGCATTTTGGATTATCATAGAGGACCCATTTTTCATCAAAGTGATCAAAAAATGCTTCCATATTGTGCCATTGAAGCAATAAGTGGTGGATCGATGGAGGGTTGACCAAGATTGGTTAAGACTGTTTGACAATTTCTCACTTGTCTGACACGGATTTACTTCCACTTTCACCCATAACATGTCATTGTCTAATGTTGTTGGTCTTCCTGATCGATAGGAATCAAAAAGATCAAAATTACTAGATTTTAACTTGGGAAACCAACCTTTGGCATTTACGAATGTCTAATGCATTTGGATAAACATTGCAAATGTTATCAGTAGCAACTGTTGCAATACTACTCTTGTGAAACTCAAAAAGCAAGCAATACTAGATATGTATCTCCTTTGGTATTTGGCGGGCCATTTCACCCAAAATCAGAACAAAAAAAATCAATTCAATTATTTACAACTAAACTAGTCACTAAAACCTTAGAATATCTTAGCCACAACTTTGATGTACACAATGAGCTGACAAATGCAGAAACAACATTAATTCCCAGTCCCCCTAATATTAAATGTATCACTGAAACTCTACCTTCTCTTTAAGAAGATAAAGACAGTACACACCTGCGCTTGTTGTAGCAAGTATTTAATGCATGGACCAATGTAAGTACCTCGTATTAAATTGAGTTAGTTCAAGGATTTCAAATTTTTTCATTACAATAAAATAGGCTCGATGTAATCTTTAATTTTGTTATTCTCAAGGAACTTTGTTCCAGAATAAAGTTATTTTTCTATCTATCTATCTAAAATACAGTTGTGATGGTTCAATGTACACAAGCGTTTGCAGATGGGTTTCTTCCAATATATAATAAATTAAGTTTTCTCAGTATACTTTTATTAATTTTTCCAGTCAGTGATGCAATAAAAGGAAAAGAAACTCCCATGTAAGCTGCCATATATCTTTTGGAGAAGCTTGTCTATTTATGTGTAGCGTATCCTACTAATTGTTATTAACAATGTAGTAGTAAATATTTTAAACAAAATATTTCTTTGGCATAGTCGCATCCATTGTAGTATGGGGGCCAGACTCCCCTATCGTACACCCTTCCCCACGTCCCTATAAATTGCATATTGTTGTGTTCATTGTAACTATTTATTAAAAAAAAGTCAATGTTCCCACAAAAATAAGTTAACGCACTGCCCCAAAATGGGTCCAAAGATGGCGGACTGGCGACTTTGACTTGAGTTAGTTTTTTGGTCATTTAGAATCAGCATTTGGTTTAATTTCGTCAGAAAATAATAAAACATGAGGTGGTTAGGGTTTTTTTTTTTCTCTGACTATTCAGCTTTAATAAAAGGCTACTTATGACAAAATTAAACCAAATGCTGATTCTCAATGACAAAAAAACTAACTCAAGTCAAAGTCGCCAGTCCGCCATCTTTGGACTCATTTTGGGGCAGTGCGTTAACTTATTTTTGTGGGAACATTGACTTTTTTTTAATAAATAGTTACAATGAACACAACAATATGCAATTTATAGGGACGTGGGGAAGGGTGTACGATAGGGGAGTCTGGCCCCCATACTACAATGGATGCGACTATGCCAAAGAAATATTTTGTTTAAAATATTTACTACTACATTGTTAATAACAATTAGTAGGATACGCTACACATAAATAGACAAGCTTCTCCAAAAGATATATGGCAGCTTACATGGGAGTTTCTTTTCCTTTTATTGCATCACTGACTGGTTTAGCCAATGCAACAAATGATCGAACTGACATTCGAAAGTGATTGAAAAAAAAATTTATATTCGCTGACATTGACTGTACTTGTGTTGAAGATAGTTTTTAAATAACTCATCGTTATTAAAATGGAATATTTTAAAATAATTCATTATAAATAGATGGATTCAATATATTCTTTGTATAGTTTTGCTTTCACATATGCATTGGTATACTAACTATAAAAAATAAACCTTTATTTTATAAATTAATAGAACTTTCTTTCATTTCATCTCAAAGCAACACTTAAACAATACTGATAACTGAAGACTGACTGAGGTCTAGGCATGGAAACTAGGAAATCTGAAAAAGAGCGCCCATCTGGCCTATTCCACAGACACAGACTTGGGAAATTCTTGAAACAAATAATGCTTCCTATAACTTTAGTGTGCACTGGAACACTAATGCAAAAGCGACCACAAATGTTAGTGTGTACCAGGCCAAAGATGATAAAAACTAACCTGTAAGTATCCTCCAGAGATCACTACACTTGTGAATTCTTCAACAACTAATGTTTCGTTAGCTACAACCAATAAAGGTTCCCAATATGAATGAGGAAAAACACGTATGGCAAGAGTACCAGTTGTATATACATCTTTCACAGAAACCTATAAAGAAAAAAAGTATATTTATATAAAGGGCTAAGATTGTATTTTTGCAAAAAATTATTTATATACTTTTATTTTATATATCATCATCATCATGTGTGGCACGACATCCCGTTACCGAGACTGGGCCTCCTCCAAGAGCCTCCGCCAGTTGGCTCTGTCTTCTGCTGCAGCTCTCCAGTTCCGTACACCAAGCAGGGTTCTCGCATCATAGGCCACGTTGTCCAACCATCTCGTCCTCGGCCTTCCTACCCGTCTTACGAGATGCAGCTCCTCCATCATTATTTTCTTTGGTATTTCAACGGTGCTCATTCTGGCCACATGCCCTGCCCACCTTAGTCTGGCCAGTTTAATATAGGTGACTACGTCGATGTCTGTATAGAGAGAACTGAGCTCCCTATTTTTTCTTTTCCTCCAGACATCACCCTCCTTTACTGGACCATAAATCCTTCTGAGGACTCCTCGCTCAAACACACTCAGCTTCATCTCATCGTTTTTGGTCATCGTCCAAGCCTCTGAGCCATATGTCAAAACAGGCCGAACAAGGGTCTTGTATATGATCAGCTTGGTCTTCTTTGAGAGGTACCTACTTCTTAAGTGTCGGCCAAGTCCAAAGACACATCTATTGGCAGCCGTGATCCTTCTTTGTATTTCTTGAGCCATGTCATTTTTGCTATTAATTTCAGACCCAAGGTATATAAAACTTTTCACTCTCTCAAACTTAAAAGAACCTACCTCAAATGGAGAGTTCAGATCCACCTCACCACCAACTCTCATATACTTAGTTTTCCTCTCGTTGACTTCAAGACCAAGTGGTCTTGCAGCTGCTTCAAGGCCTATAAACGCTTTATTTATATATATATATATATATATATATATATA